TTGATGTTTTTCCTCAGCGACCAGCACGGATCAGCTCCAGGCATGACGAAGCAGATATCGTCCTCTTTCGGAAGGGCAAACAAAGTAGTTTCGCTTTCACAACGAAACACACAGCGCCTTCACGACATGGCGGCGGCGGCAACAACAATACTACAGCGAGGATAAAAGTTACGCCTTCTTTCTTTGCGTGAACATTTGGGCAGATTTGGGCGATCATTATGCAAACCTTCCCACATCGTAGACATGTGGGGGCGTGTTAGAATGAGCCGTTTTAGGTAGGCGTGGTTGACTCTTAACTTTTATAAAGAATATCTCTTTGGATTTGAGACTTTAGTCTTTGTAACTTTACATATCTTCTTTATGCACCAAGATCTTGTAACAGTCCAAAGAGAAAGGAAAAATTGAAATCGCATCATGTGATCCCTTTAAAACGAATTTTTGCCCCGTTTGTGTTGTTTTACTACTTACAATTGATTAAAGTCGGCATGAAATGGAAGTTGCGATTGTCTTTTCTTCTCTACTGTGACATATATCCGAGTGAAACGGCATCTGAACTGAGAGGGCGGGACGTGATTTCGTCCTTCGGGAATTGATTGGATCGTTGGAATTTGGGGCGTTGCTAACAAAATGGAGGCAGACCTGAATGCCAGTTTGCAGTTAGTGGTGGGGGATTTCTCTCCACTGGATTCACAGCCAGCACCCAAGCATGAATAATTGTTTTATTTATTAAGGATGACGATCAAGGGCACAAAACATGCCTAAACAGCACGCGTGCACGCGAGAGAGAGAGAAAGAGAAAGAGAGAGAGAGAGAGAGAGAGAGAGAGAGACTACCTGAATGACTCAGCGCGTCCTCCATCAGGTTAAATCATATTCATGAAAAAAATTAGTTTGCGATGTCCTAAGAGTAATGTTGCCGTAATATCCTAATATCTTTTCAATGTTTAGGGGTAACGTACTCCCTCATGAGTGGTGTCAGTGCTATAAAGTGAAGCATCAGCTTCAGCTTTTCCCCCTGTCGTTTATCCCAGCGTTTACCGCTCACGTCACTAGCTCCGCCCTTGCGCCATAGCTCGTGACCGGAAGAGAAGATGAGTCGTTTTGAGGGGGAGGGGAGGTTAAAGTTTTTGATTAAAGATTACGATTTCATGGTGACTTTAAAGTATAAAACATTGTTATTTACAATGCACAGCATGGTTTTTAATCATATTTTTAGGGGGGACAACCCTCAGATGGGGGGTCCTGTCCCCCCCGACCCCCACGGGATTTCCGCCTATGATTTGGGGTGATGTGATGTCTGCTGGTGTTGGTCCATTGTGTTTCATCAAGTCCAAAGTCAATGCAGCCGTCTACCAGGAGATTTTGGAGCACTTTATGCTTCCATCTGCTGACAAGCTTTATGGAGATGCTGATTTCCTTTTCCAGCAGGACTTTAGCACGACTGATCGCTTCCATGCCACACCTCACTGATGCTGGAATTAAGGAGCCTCGGCCAAATATTGAGTGCATAAATGAACATACTTTAAAGAACTTGAGCTTTTCTGTTTCGCAAATCCATATTTTTGATTGATCTTAGGAAATATTCTAATATTTTGAGATACTGGATTTTTGACTTTCATGAGCTGTAAGCTCTAATCATCAAAATTCAAACAAAAAAAAAAACAAACATTTGAAATGTTTTACTTTACATGTAATGAATCTAGAATATATGTTTCACTTTTTTAAATAAGTTTAAAAAAAAAAGAACTTTTTCACGATATTCAAATTTTTTGAGATGCACCTGTATATTGAACATATATTTACTCATGCAATATATATCCATATATTGTCAATGCATATATTTCTGTATATTGAAAAATATAAGCACTAGTTTTCAATATATGGAAATGTATTATGCAATATATTGCAATATATTTTGCAGTATATTCCCATATATTTTCGTTCCGTAAAAGGGACAAGGCTATCCCCTCAAAAACAGTGCATAAGGATAATAAATGTATAGCCAAAGTCATGTCACTCGTCGGCCATCTTTGAAACGCCTGTCGGGCATGCAAGTGCAGCTCCTATCTCTTTGTATGGGGAAACATCAAATTCTCCCAAACTGTTCACTAAGCTTACAATTAAATTTCATATTTGAAATCTGACAACAACTGTGCCATAAATGTGGTTTCTTTTGCTCAAATAGCATTATAAAAAGCTTATTATTCAGGCTCAGCAAGTGCGCATGCGCAGTCCTAAGTGCGCATCTCAGAACTCTGACTATCGGTGCATTCCTAACTGGATATATCGCCCTCCGAAGAGCACTTCGGAGTGAAAACAATCATGGCTGCCATATTGAAGTGTAGTCTTTCCAAACCGAAGTGCTCAAAACTGGCCACTTCAAAGGGCCCTTCGGAATGAAGGATTTCGAAGGGTACAACTGATGGACACTTCGGGCTCGTGATGATGACGCAGAAGGGCACTTCAAGAAACAGTTGTTTGGTCCCCTACACCCTTCAACCCTTCGAAGCTCTCACTCTGGAGGGTAAACCCTTTGAAGGGATTAGGGCATAGGGATGAGCCCTTCCGAATGGAACGCAGGGTGTTTCTATAGTAACCGGGACTTCTAACGGCAGCTGCAGTGACGTGATAACTTTACTGATTAGCGATTGGCTCTTTTACTCAGAAGGCGGGGTTTCCTGCAATTGAGCAACCATATTAAGCTTTGCATTTTCCCCCATTCAAAATAGGGATATATTATTAGGCAATATTATTTTATTTTCGATCCGATACCCATATTTTCAAGCTCAGTATAGTCGATACCGATACCGATACCTCCAAACTAAACTGATCTTTTAAATTATTAAAAGAATATAATCAGTAATTATACTCACTTAATATTAGATTTTAAAGCCATGTTTTTTAACATTTCATAACTTTTTTATTTACACTGTCAGAAATAAAATATACTATAATTGTATTTTAGCCCTTTACTGGGGCAGGTACAACTATAGCCCTAAAGGGGAGCATATTAGTACCATACAAGTATGCATGCTTTAAGGGTAGATAAGTTACAAGGTGCACCTTTGAGGATACCTCATGAAAAATAAACATGGTGTTACATAAATACTCAAATGTATTATTATTATTATTATTATTACCATGGTAAATTTGTGGTTACTGCAGTTTTACTACAAATACTGTGGTTACTGTAATAAAACCATGGTTAGTAAAGGCTGCCAGGCTGTTGTACCCCTAAAGGTGAAACTTTAGCATATTTTTTTCTGACAGATTTATTAACAGCGATTACAGAACATAACACAATCCATCTGAACTTTTAACAACCAGTTTAAATAAATGTACTTGCATAAACTAGCCAATTTAACATAAGTATTACATGTACACAAAAGTTTGGGGTCAGTAAGATTTTGTAATATCTTTTTTTTTAAGTCTCATGCTCACCAAGGCTTCACTTATTTGAACAAAAAATATTGTAAAATATAACAATAAAAAAATAACTATTTTCTATTTTAATATATTTTAAAATGTAATTTAAAATGCATCTCCGAGCAAAGCTGATTTTTCAGCATCATTACCCAGTCTTCAGTGTGGAAACCGTGATGCATTCTTCAGAATGAATTTTATATATAGCAACAATGTTATGTAATGTAATCTAATAATGTGGCAATGGTTTATTGAGATCTACTTATGCTTCTGATGCTTTTGGGAAACGCAGCCCTATTTAAACAAGCACTGTGAGCCATGCGTCAGCAGCGAACGCTGTCTGTGATTGGTTGCTTCTGTCTTTCAGCATTTGCGTGTGTTCAGATGAGCAGGAGAAATGGTTCTATCCAACACAATTATTCGCTAATATAGTCTATTTTTCCACTTAGAAGATTATTTTATGCACCGAATTTCTTGATAAATAAATAAAATTGATGGTTAAAAATGCACTTTAGAATCGATATTTTTATGTGAGGATCGATCCTTTCAATAAAACATCAGTATCTAAAGTGCGGATCGATCCGCCCATGCGTAATTCAAAACAATAGGAATGACACGTCTTTGGTGTAGCATCGAAAATATTAGCTGTAACGAAATATAGATCAGTTTGATGCTTCCTGGAGGCCTCTTTTCAATCACCTGTTAAAAACTTTTAATAACGGCGATACTATTTGAAATTTTCTTTTCTTTTCTTGTAATTGCTATTTTCTTTCATTTCCGTATCAATCTTAATATGTTCAGATTTTTTTCTCTCTAAATTTCATTTCAATATTTGACTTTTTCTTTTCCTTAATTATTTGTCAAAACTAGCGACAATGTTGACACCGTTGCAAATCTATTCGCTCTCTGTTACTATGGTCATATTCCTTAAGTAATGCCCTTGTGAGGTAAAAAGGCCTAGGTTGTTACCTATTATTATTATTGTTATTATTTTATAATTGTTATTATTACAATATTATTTCACCTTGTCTATGATGTCATATTGTGCAGAAAGTTGTTTTGAACCCCTTTGCCTTTACTTGGTGATGTGGTTATCTGCTAAACTGAATTTAGTTTAGTTTTTTTTATTTTTATTTTTTTTCCTTCTTGTTTGTGTAGTTGTGTTTTGTCCTGTCTTGTGATTGTACTTTTTATGTGTCTGAAAATTGAAAAATACCACAATAAATATAATATACAAAAAAAAAAAAAGAAAATATTAGCTGTAACTACAAGAACTTCTGGGGAGACATTTACAGTTGAAAACTTACAGAGCCAAAACGCTCAATTGAATTCGACTTCTCAATTAATAACCAAAACAAAAACGCAATATTAATTCAAGACTTCTGTACAAGTAATTGGGTGTAGGTTCTTTTTTTTTGAACAGTTCAAATGAACCGATTCAGTGGCATCAACTCTCCTTCGCTACTAAGCAACGAGTCTAAACGCACGCAGCGTACTGTTGCCTGGATACGTGTGTTTGGTTCCAGTAGCCTGCAGCCTTTTCGACTCGTTTACTCTGAAGCTTAAAGTTGTATCGCAATGGCAGAAGACGCGCAAGAAGTCCCTCAGATCGCATTAGAGGCTGTTATTGGTTTTAATGGTAAGATAAACTGTGAACCTTATCACGTTTGATAGTTTGATCTATAATACATGGCATTTGCTAAAATGGATGTAATTAAGCGGTACCACAACATAAAACGTTACATGGTTTTATACAGGTCATGTGTTTTCTGGACTCAAAGTGCATCCAGACAAAGAACATCTCATTTATCCTCTTGGCTGCACTGTTATTATTAAGAGTCAGAGAAGTGGGAAACAAACTTTCCTCCATGGCCACACGAACAACGTCTCTTGCATTTCTGTGTCCAAAAGTGGACGCTATATTGCATCTGGACAGGTCACGTTCATGGGCTTTAAGGTGAGCTGGTGCAATACAAGAGGAAAAACGCTATTTACACATTGCTTAATAACATCACAGAGATACAGTGCTCCCTTAATACTCCGTTCTATAGCTTTCTTCAAATGAGATGGCCATTTCTCACTACAGGCTGATATTATTATCTGGGACTATGAGAAGAAGGAGATTTATGGCCGTCTTGTGCTTCATAAAGCTAGGGTTGAAGATCTCAGCTTCTCCCCAAATGATAAGTATCTGGTATCTTTGGGTGGACAGGATGATGCCAGGTAAAAATCTTACTGCAGTGATCTAGAATTAATATTTCCCATATTTTGATGTTTCTTAGCTCTAGTCTCTTAGCAGTGTTTAATTAAACAATATATGTGTCTGTATTACCTTATTACCTATATTACAGTTTAATCTAACTGTACAATGAGAATGTTTTTCTCAGCATGTTTACTTGATGGTTTTAGCATTGTAGTGTGGAACATCGAGAGTAAGGAGGCTATATGTGGCAGTCCTGCTTCAGCACAGAGTGCTGGTCACTGCCTCACCATCGAGTACACCAACCTGAACGATGAAATCTTTGTCTCTGCTGGAAAGTAAGTCCAATTTTATGGTAGTTATTCATGCAAGAAACGTTTCCATTTTGATCTAAAACAAAACTTTCATAGTATAATGATTCACATTTAATCTCACATTAAATACAAAAAATATAAGGTCTATTATGTTGCTTTCATTTGATAGAAAATACAACAGAAACGGCAATATTGTAAAATATTATTATATTACAGTTAAAATCCAGATTTCCTACTTTAATATATTTCAAAATAAGTCATTTATTCCTGTGATGATCCTTCAGAAATCATTCTAATAATCCGATTTGGTGCTCAGTTATTATTATATTATAATAAATAATAATAATAATAATGTTTGAAAATATACTGAAAAATATGATATATATATATATATATATACTGTATATATATATATATATATATGTGTGTGTGTGTGTGTAGTTTCTTTCAAATAAATCAGAATCAGAATCAGAAGAGCTTTATTACCAAGTATGCTTACACACACAAGGAATTTGACTTGACGACAGGAGCTTCCAGTGCAGAAGAAAGTACAAACATAGTGCAGACATACATAGGAATAACACAGTAGGGATGTAATATAACACTGATATAATAAAAATTAAAAATTAAATAACGTACTATATACAGAAATAGAAGTATAGGAAAAAATGTAATTGTTTAGATAAATGTACAGATATGTTTATTAGTGTGCAGATATGCTATTTACAAAGTGTGCAGTTTAATATAAATATAAATATGTTAGTTGTGATGGACAATGTATAATTATGAAAGATTAATTGTTCAGGCTGAATATAGCCTGTGGGAAGAAACTGTTCTTGTGCCTGACTGTTCTGGTGGTCAGTGCTCTGTAGCGCTGACCAGAAGGCAACAGTTGGAAGAGAGAGTGGGCTGGGTGTGAGGGGTCCAAGGTGATTTTTTTAGCCCTTTTCCTCACTCTGGAGATGTAAAGATCTTGGAGGCTAGGCAGAGGGGCACCGGTAATCCTCTCAGCAGTCCTGACTGTCCGTTGTAGTCTCTTGATGTCTGATTTGGTAGCTGAGTGCAGGAGGGATTCTCCTGAAGTCCACGATCATCTCCACAGTTTTGAGCGTGTTGAGCTCCAGATTGTTGAGACTGCACCAGACAGCCAGCTCTTTAACCTCCTGACTGTAAGCAGACTCGTCACCGTCCTGTATGAGGCCGATGAGTGTGGTGTCGTCTGCAAACTTCAGGAGGTTGACAGTGCTTATGAAAGTGCTTATCACTTTCTGCAAATGTTAATTTACTGTGTTTTTTGTTTTTTAAGTGGAACTCTGCGTGTATGGGAGCTTGATTTGCCCAACAGAAAGATCCGGCCCACAGAATGCCAGACTGGACAGCTCAAGAGAATTGTCAAATGCCTGGAGGTGAGTAAGAAGCACTGATACTGCCGGTTCTGGTTCTTAAATTTTTTTTTTAACCTGCTCATACCTTCGATGGATTTCAGAGTATTTTTATGTCTAAAACTGCTATATACTGTAGAACATAAATAAACGTAAATGTTTTCCCTGCCTTGCAGATCCCTAACGATGATAATTTTTTCTACTGTGGAACTACTAGTGGGGATATTCTGAAAGTGAACCTGAAGACAAGGTTGCTCAACAGCTGTGGTCCTGTTAAACAAAAATTCAGCAAGGTGAGTCTCCAACTGTGGTTTAACATAGTGAGCAGCTAAGAATTTATTTTCTTGAAGTAGTATTTATGTCATTTACATGATTTTTGAGAAAACACCCTGGTACATGTGAATGGACTTAAAAATGATGCACAGAAAATTAATGATTTCTCTTTGCCTCATTTATGTTTCATACAATTGAGCTCTATTTATTGCACTACACTGTCCAAAGAACATGAGTTAACAGAGACGGTCAAAACAAGTTGAACAACAAGTCTGAACAAAACTTTTTAACAGACCTTTTGTTTAAAATGTAATTTCACGTCTCGAGTGCTTTTTTTGGTGTTGCAGGGAGTGAACACTCTTAAAGTCTTGAAGACTGGTGATATTTTAGTTGGATCAGGAGATGGGATGTTGTCTTTGTGCTCAGGAGGGAATTTCAAAACCATTAAGTATGTAACAACCCTTGTTTCCTCTTCCTTCTTTTGCTCTTTGTTTTCCTCCTTTGTTATTTATTCTTTCTTTCTTCCTTCATCCCATTCAACCACTAATTATGGTTTACTGATCATTTGTAACAGGAGTGTTCAGTTGGAGGAAGGGGTGACATCAGTGACCCTGCGTGGAGATGGGCAGCAGTTCTACGTTGGGACAGAAGCTGCACAGATCTACAGTTTAGGCTACATTGACTTCAAACCAGAACTCATTGCAACAAATCATAACAGTGCTGTAAAGGACGTGGCCTTTCCATTGTGAGTTATATACTCCCTTCTGACACTTGAGGGAGCCATAAGCTTTGTATTGGAATCATAAGAAAAAAAGCCTCAACTCTCCATATATTTGTGCAAATCCTCTTCCTTCAACTCTCTTTTACTCTCAACAGTGGGACGTCAGAGCTGTTTGCCACCTGTTCACAGAATGATATACGAGTGTGGCATACTGAGTCCTCCAAGGAGCTTCTGCGTATCATGGTGCCTAACATAACATGCAACGCTCTGGGCTTTATGCAGGATGGCAGGAGCATCTTCAGTGGTGAGTCTCATACAGGATGATCTATTGATCTGTGCATTAGAAATGTTACTGTAAAATGTGAACTCTATGAAATGGTTTGAGGAACAATCATTTAATATTAACTTAAAGGGATAGTTCACCCAAAAATGAAAATTTTATGTTTATCTGCTTACCCCCAGGGCATCCAAGATGTAGGTGACTTTGTTTCTTCAGTAGAACACAAACGAAAATTTTTTTAACACAAACCGTTGCAGTCTGTCAGTCTTATAATGGAGGTGAATGGGAATCACGGCTTTGAGAGTAAAAAAAAAACATACACAAACAAAACCAAATTAAACCCTGCGGCTTGTGATGATACATTGATGTCTAAAGACACGAAACGATCGGTCTCTGCAAGAAACTTTATATCTGTGCAAGATATTATAGTATTTATATCGTTTTTTACCTCTGATTCACGCAATGTCCGAACTGTTCGAACTGTCCTGACAGCGCGTCCTCCTGAGCGCGTTCTCAACAGTAGGCGTGTGAGGCGTCTTCTTCTTCTTGCTTTACGATGGATCGCAAACTTATAAGTGCATTACCGCCACCTATCTCTCAAATGGACCATTGACACTCCTAATTGAGATTGTAGAAGCAAGAAGAAGAAGAAGACGCCTCACGCGCCTGCTGTTGAGAACGCGCTCAAGAGGACGTGCCGCCGCTCAGGACAGTTCGAACAGTTCGGACATTGCGTGAATCAGAGGTAAAAAACTATATAAATACTGTTCAGTTTCTTGCACAGACCGATCGTTTTGTGTCATTACACATCAATGTATCGTCACGAGCCGCAGGGTTTAATTTGGTTTTGTTTATGTTTTTTTTACTCTCAAAGCCGTGATTCCCATCCACCTCCATTATAAGACTGACAGACTGCAACGGTTTGTGTTAAAAAATCTTCGTTTGTGTTCTACTGAAGAAACAAAGTCACCTACATCTTGGATGCCCTGGGGGTAAGCAGATAAACATCAAATTTTCATTTTTGGGTGAACTATCCCTTTGACTTTTATTATTTTAAAATATATATGTAAATAATATATAATATGTAAAATGTATGTGTGTATATATATATATATATATATATGTATGTATATATACTATATATATATATATATATATATATATATATATATATAATTACAAAAATAATTGTACAAAATGAAAGGCTATTTTTTATATTTATTTGTCTATTTAATATACAGATTGCAAAGTCAATTAATTTTTTTACTTTGTACATTATAATTAATTGTACAAAGTAAAAAAAAATTAAATAATAATTTATGTTTAAATTATGCGCCAACATGTTAATTGATGAACTTGTTTATCACATTTGTAATTCAATACAATTCTATTGCAGCTTGCTTTAATTGATAACTTTGTTTGCAGCTTGGAATGATGGAAAGATTCGCGTGTTCACCCCAGAGAGTGGGAAGCTGAAGCTGATCATTCATAATGCCCACAGTATGGGAGTGACTGCCATAGCAGCGACCAATGACTGCAAGAGGATTGTCAGTGGAGGGGGAGAAGGACAGGTACAGCACATCAGATACACATCAAAAACTCACTTTTATGAGCTGTGCTCCAGTTTTAAAATAAACACTGTACATTACTGTGCATTATGAGTAATGGACAATTCTGCTTTTCTGTCACAGAAATAAATTACATTTTAAAATATATTCAAATTATATTAGAAATAATAGAAAATTGTTATTTAAAATTGTTACAATATGTCACAGTATTAGTTTTTTTTCTGTATTTTTGATTAAATAAATGCAGCTTTAGTGAACATAAAATACTTCTTTTAAAAACATTTAAAAATTCTTTCTGACTCCAAATATCTGAAGAGTAGCATATGTAAGAAATTAGTTACCTTGGTCAAATACTCAGTTTAACTTTCATTATATAACCATATTTGTCCACAGAATGGCACAGCTGGCCAGTCAGAATCAAATTATACAGAGCCATGTAGCCATGTAAAAAGCAGGGATGTTTTGGATTTTTGCAGAATGCAGAATAAATGTATTCTTTGGCATCTTTTGTAATAAAGGTTAGAGTCTGGGAGATATTCCAGGACTCATATCGTCTCATCGAGACCATGAAGGAGCACAAAGCCACGGTTAACTGCATTAAGATCAAGAGTAACGACAAGGAGTGTGTGACAGCCAGCTCTGATGGCGCTTGCATCATCTGGGACCTGGTGTAAGTTTGAAGAGCATCAAATAATAGACATTTAATGTAGACCTATACTGAGCGAAAGGTCTTGCCCTCAAGTTATTCCTCTGTGCACAAGCCTGTTGAAAAGTTCAATCAACCACCTTTTCATGAACCAAGCATTCAGGGTGCAGATTTGCAGTCTGTTTGATGTAACCTTTACCCATATCTGTCTGTGTTCTTCTCGTTTCCCATCCAGGAGGTTCGTGAGGAATCAAATGGTCTTGTCCAACACCCTGTTCAGTGTTGTATGTTACCACCCTGAGGAATTCCAGATCATCACCAGTGGCACTGACAGAAAGGTACAAGACTTGACTGATCTAGACTGATGTACTGTACTGGCATGTGTTTGAGAGAAATGTGGCCAGAAAAGTGAGAGAGCAGACAGAAAGAAAAAACAGAGATAGATACTGTGTGCACAACAACAAGCTGACAGAAAGCTCTCCCAATCTCCTGTGGATGTAGTAGGATCCGCTCATTCTACTCTGTGCCAAATAGTCCATCTGCTAGTCTTAGGGCACAGCATCAGTGTCCATTTAAAGACCGCAGTTTATTACCATACGTGTGTGTGGCTGTGTATTAAACATACAGTACGGCCATCACACAGAAATATAAGAAAAAATGAGACCCGGCCTTAGTGCTTTAGAAACATTCATATTTTTCAAAAAGAGTAAAGAATTTAGAGCATGGTGTTGTTCTGTTTTATTTTAAGACCTTATATTTTTGGAAAGTAGCACAGTTTATTGTCAACAATGGTATAAAAGGAAAGTGCGTAACCTTTTGATTAAGGATTTGCTGCAGTTGGACAAAGAACAAAACGGTTTGGTTTAAATTTACCATCTAATAGCAGTAATTAATAAGACTCCAGACTGTAGCCAAACAAACATAAATGCGAGTCCATTGATGTCCAGGAAAAGCAGCCAAATTCAGCACAGAAGGTACAGTACTTGAAAGGACACAATGCTGGGGTCATGCCGGATGCCCAGTGCTGGCGCAAAGCCTGCTGGGACAGATCTCAATGAGGCGTACCAGACCTGCTCTGTCTGCAGTTCCCAACAGTGCTCATACCTTGTAAAAATTGATCGAATTATTGTATCATAAATCATCATTCTTTTTTTCTCTTATTTTTTTATTTGTTTTCAGCACAGGATCATAAGTATGAGGTTTAATACATTCTGACAGTATATTTTAATGAATGAGAAGAAGCATTCAGAATTAAATAATTTCTTTTTTTTTTTAAGTGAATAATCCAGTTATCAAAAAAGGAAAGCCATGCCACAACAGTGAACATCTCCATTACTGCTGAAATGCAATCAGTGGCCTACAGAAATTAGATTTATGTAATATCTCTTGTATACAGGTTGAGATGCAATAGCCCTTGACAAAGAACAACTGAAGGATTAGAACCATTTCTTTTTTCTTATGTTGTTCTATAACAAATTACATCATATTTCTATTGCAATTACATTAGCTCTTTGATACAATGATTGCAATGCTGAGAAATTATATTCTCTTTGTTTTTTTTTCATTATAAAAATTGTTGCTATTTTACCTCTTCACCTCTATCAGATTTGCCATCCATCTTTTTTAATTGTATGTTTAGTTTTCATTCATTTATTCACCATTAAAACCATTATTGGGATCTAGACCAGAGTAGGACATTTGAAATGCAATCTTTACCATTGAACAGATTGGCTACTGGGAGGTGTATGATGGTTCTGCAATCAGAGAACTCGAGGGCTCCTTGTCTGGAGCTATAAATGGCATGCACATTTCTGAGGACGGAAAATATTTCGTGACTGGTAGGTACCTTCAGTATCTTTTCACATATGGAGTTATTTCACTGAGTCATTCTTCTGTCATATGGCGGATGTAACGATAACAACAGGTGGCACAATAAACAATATAAACAGAAGTATTTATTATGGTGCCGAAAAGCATAATTTGCAAAACAGATGGATAAATGTCTGCTCACCAGGTCTAAATAAACACTTGCAGAATTCAAACTGATCCCAGCAGTTATTTTTAAATGAGTTTCACAGTTTGAGTTGATGAGGTGCTAATCTAACATTACAGTTTTTAGTGCATGTCCATGTCGCTTTCTACAGTTATAATGCTAAACATCAAATCTTTCTTTCAGGTGGAGATGACAAATTACTGAAGCTTTGGCACTATTCTGATGGTGAAGTGACCCATGTTGGCGTCGGGCACAGTGGAAGCATCACAAATGTGAGGATCTGTCCCAACAGCAGATGCATTGTCAGCACCAGTGCTGATGGAGCCATCCTAAGGTGGAGATATCCACAAACCCTAAAGAGTGAATAAGAATATCTAATGCAGTTCAGATATGATAGTAGTTCAGATATACACTTACATTGCATTCCTTCTTCTTGCAAATAATTGTATTGCAAATTAGGTTATGAATTCTTGCGAGATTTAAAGGTACCATTAAACAGTCCAATTCCAGTCATTTCATTTAAATAAAGCAGCATAGAGCCCCAGTTTCGGAGGACTATTGTGAACTGCACTGTCAGCTAATATATCACCTGAGAATCTCCAGAGAGCTGGTGGGGGAGGTTTGGAAAAGTACAGCATCTGCCTGTCCCAAATTTCCTCTCACCTCCGAGGAACAGCCTCAATAATGAATATCTCTTAACCCCTAACAGTAAGGATATTCGGCCACATACATTAAAAAAAAAAAAAGGGTTGCTGTGCTGATTTTTTTTGTATTTCTCACACCACAGATGACACAGATCTGATGACCTTGTTGTTGCTGATATAAAGACATAAAATAAAGTCAGTAGGCTATCCAATCAAAATTCAGCTCGGTAGTCATATAAACTGTATCTATCTGTCTTGAAGGTAAGATGTGTAATTAAAAAAAACAACAGATACATATTAGAGGATAAACCTGTACAGGGTGTCTGATAAAACAAGAAACGGTGAAACTTTTGTGCTGCGTTTACTCTTTATTCTTTATCTGGTCTCATTCTTCCTTGTTAAATGGGTGCAAAATGGGTCTACAGTTATAAAAATACATGAATATGATTCTAGACATGAAAATGAATCGTGGACAAACTTTTAAAAGGAAGCACACAAGGAAACAGTAGGGGGCTCCTAATGCTTTGCAAAAAGACAGAGCACAACTGTGGCATAATTGTTTATGAACCTCTAATATGTATCGTAATCTACGCCTACACTAGCCCTCCAAGGCCCCCCATTGTCCACTACAACATTGGAAGGCCCCATGACTTTTCCAGTTATTGTGATTTACAGGAAATAAACAAACAAATAAATACTACTACTACTACTACTATTATTTTACTCACAATTTCTACCAGATAAAATATTTTAGAGCTTGGCATAACTAGAAAACTGTACTTTTAGAATTAAGGGATTTATTAATAAAAAAAAAAAAAAAGAATAGACTTTTCAAGGTCTAGAAATCACATTTTTAAAATTAGGCTTTTTCAAGACAACGGGAAGTAAAAAGTTGCTGAAAAGGTTAATTAAAATAATAAACATCTTGATTTGTATTTGTTTTGGCTTATTTAAATGCTGGTTAGTGTTTAAATCATTTCAAGTTCTTCAGACCGCATAAGGGGAACCGGACCCTGGTTGAAATTCAATGATTTACATGCGCAGGGATGTTTTTTTATTTTATTTTTAATGAGTAAATGAAAAGAATGATCCTCAGAATATTTAGCAACATCTACATTTACACACACATATTAATTAATTAAATATTCTCATATTAATGAAGTTAATCATAATAACCTGATTAATAAACATATTTCGGTCTTGGTAGATTTGTATTAGTGACAGGAACTACATATTGCATTTCATCACGTTCATGTGTGTTAATTGTGAATTTATGGGATCAGATTCCCGCCAAATGTATTGCAGTCACGGATAAAAAAAATAACAAGTGTGGCCCCAAAATTTAAGAACCCAAGTAAAATTATGTTGCACAAAATCTAAAAATGAAAGCAAAGTTTTCAGAATAGCAAACAATGGTCTCGGATCAAAAAATAATAAGTGTAAATAAAAAATTGAATAACGCATTTAAAAAAATAAGCATGAATCAAAACTTTAAACACATTTAAAATCATATTGCACAAAACAGAAATATTAATGCAAAATTATATTTTTTGTGCTCTCAGACATTTTCTGCATATATTTTTATTTTTTGTATGCTTATGCTGTTTTTCCCTTCAGTCTTTATTCCACGTTCTGCACTTCTTCCAAATGTTGCAGTTAAGAGTTTCATGTAAATCAGGGCGGGTTTAACCGTCATCATTGGTCCACTAGTTATAGATTGACAGCTCCTCCTCTAGCCAATCAGTCGAAGAGGAGCGGTGACGTCACTCCAACGTGCCTCATTACTGCCGATGTTCAGTGTTCTGTTCACTTGTACAAGTGAAAATGGAAACTGTCTGCTGGGAAACATCTTTCCATACAGGACACCGTTATATGTGTCTGTCTGTCACTGCTGTACGCCTACCTGGTGATCCGTTAATGTTAAATGAGCCATCCTAGCGACCTGTCGTGGTTATATTAATCTGTATATTGCAAAAGGGAGCAGCCACTCTGCACCGACCTTGCGAAGTGACTGATGTGCCTAGCTCGTCTTTACCTGACTGATTACAAGTCTTGTTATGGTTATTACTGTTAGGAGAGGATAATATGAGTAAGAGCAGGGATTTTCAAACTGGGGTCTGTGTCGTGACCCAAAGCCAGGGGGTCCCGCAAAATAATTAGCTATACTGTATTTTCTGGACTACACGTTGCATTTTTTATTTTCTGAACGTGCTGATTTATATTCCAAAGTGACTTATATAATGCATTTAATGTCAAATAAGCAAAACGTAAACAGGTAAAAGCAGGCACTTCAAGGTTTCTATAAATATATTTCTCATTCTAGTGTTAGACAGTATCGCTGAGTTTTTCTTCATTTCAGGAAGAGGTTCACTGAGACGGCAAGTGCATTTAGTATGTTTTCTTTATTTTACAAAAGTACAACGTTTCACTGTTATTTTGAAGGTACACAAATAAAAAAATAGATCGTTTTGAATGTCTTGCTCTTATCTGACGGATATCACATCTTTCCGCTGATAAGAGGTACCCAAGTGTTCGTGCCAGTGCCTCCCGTGCGCACACAAAATAATCAGTTCTAGCATTGCAAACTTTACATCGCAGCCTCTTCATCATCAAAGTAAATGAGACAACTAAACATACAAAAGGTATTGGTGATTCAATTTAGCTTGTCTTGTACAATATGTAGGTTTTGCCGGTCAGCGTGAGCATCACCATGCCGTGGTGTTTTCCAAACACATTTTTTGCATATGTGAAGGATATTGTTTAAGTAGATATTCAGATACGAGAGAAGTACAAAGCCTTCTTAACAAAATAAATAGGCTAATAGTTTATCAACCAAATGTTACACCGCGTCTAACAATTCACTCATGGAAATGAGAGGTATGTGAGCCCAGCAGGAGGTTCAGTTTTTAGTTTCATTTTAAATGAGTTATGTTGTTTGTAAAGAATGGCACTATAATTTATTTTATGACATAGAGTTAAGCAAAACACGAGGAAGAGTGTTTTTCATAATATCAGGACCATTGCAAATGTTGAACTGAATCATAATAACAAGAAGTATATTTTGAGTGAGTTTACTATTAATAGTAACTATTTCTACTTTTCTCATTTTGCTCTATTTCGATGAAGAGTCCAAACAAAGCCACAGCAGAACAGTGTCCTCTACAAGCCACATAGCAGCCTTTCGTATTGAATGATTCACTTTATTCCTCACTGAATGAATCAGCCATTTGAATGAATGATTTAAAGTCTTATTCTAAAGACAGTAACTTACCGCCTCCTACTGGCTGTTTTACTTTCATATTGTTGTTATGTTCAAACTTTATATATTTGAAACATTAATATGATAGCGTTAGGCAGTTATATATGTAAATAAACACAATATGCAAATAAATCATTGTGTATATCAAATCCACCTGGCCTCTGTAACTGTAGCACTATCGTTTAAAATTAATTTACAGATTTACTCATTTACCGTTAACGGATCGCTAGGTAGGCGTACAGCAGTGACAGACAGACACATATAATGGTGTCCTGTATGGAAAGATGTTTCCCAGCTGACAATTATCCATTTTCACCTGTAAAAGTGAACAGAACACTGAACATCTTTTTTTTTAATTTTTTTAATTTGATTATGTAATAGAAGAACAACAAATACAATTACAAAGACAAGTAAGAACAAAAGACAATAAGGGTTACAAACAATACTCAAAAGCATACTATGTTAGCTTATAAGACTTACACCATGAAAGAGTTTTACATGCAATAGAATTATTAAAGTTTCTTAAAGAGTTTACATACACATCAAAATCTTTCCTGAAAATAAAAAAGTAGGGAGTTTTCTTTGAAAATGCACACCTATGAATGTAAAATTTAGCCAGATATAGCAATATATTAATAATAAATTTACAGTGAGAAGGGTCTAAATTCAAAGAGTAACCAACAATTGGGGGAAATACTATTGTTAAATTTAGCAAGTTTGTAATTTACCGGATAACAATTATGGATAATTTTGATAGAGACTTCAACAACTTTATTAGATAAGAAGAATTTTTGTTGAAGAAGCCAAAACTCTTCCTATCCTATATCACTAAATATGTTATTCCAAAAACTCACACAAGCAGGTAAAGAAATCTGAGATCTTTTAATAATTAAACGAATGTCTTTGTTTGACATGGTATTGAGAAGACTTTGGTCAACAAATAAGTTAGTGTTATCAAAAAGAGGAGAGTCTAACGAACCTTTAGAGCTAGATTTTACTAAAGGTATAATACAAATGGGAATTTCACCAAACACAATGGCATATTCTCTTGGGGGGACTGGAAAAGAAAATTATTGCATAAATTGTTCATAAGTAAAAAGGACACCACGATCATCTAAAAGTTGACTGACTAAAAGTATAATTTTATCAAACCAATTGTAAAAAAAAGAAAAGATTTATTTTTATATCTAATATTTTTATTATTCCAAATAAAGTAGCTATGTGGTGAAAAATTATAATTATGTATAAGTGACCAACATATTAACGCCTGTTTATGAAAACAAGATAAATTTAAAGGTATTTTAGAGATGTCAAAGTTGGAGCGCAATAAAAAATTTAAACCTCCAGCAGAATTAAATATATGATTTGGAATAAAATTCCAACAGGATGTGGGGTTGTTTAAAAATGTTTTATCCATTTAACATTAAACAAATTATTAAGAGTAGAAAGATCCTCTAACTCAAAACCCCCCATAGCCCGATCAGCTAACATAGCACTTTTTTAATTAAGTGAGTTTTAGAATTCCAAACAAAGTCAACTATAATTTTGTCCAGCATTCTACAAATTTCCACAGAAACATCCAGTACCATTGCAGGATAGATAACCCGAGATAACCCATCTGCCTTAGAAAGCAACACTCTACCTGTTATTGACAGATCACGCTGTAACCAAGAGTTTAATTTGCGTCGGATAGAGAGAATAACAGGTTCAAAATTAAGCTTTGATCTCTTTTTCTGATGTTTGCATATAATTATACCTAGATATTTGACTTCAGATTTGACTGAGATGTCACAAATTTTAACATCAGTAGAATCTTTTATAGATAAAAGTTCACATTTATGGATATTAAGACATAATCCAGAAGCAGAGGGAAAAAAACTGAATTTTGTCTAAAGCTAAAGGAACTTGATCTTTAATTTTTAAGAAAAGAGTTGTGTCATCAGCCAGTTGGCTTATTAATATTGATCGATTTGCCACAGAGATACCTTTCAAATTACCAACACTGAACATCGGCAGTAATGAGGCGAGTTGGAGTGACATCACCGCCCCTCTTCGACTGATTGGCTAGAGGAGGAGCTGTCAATCTAGAACTAGTGGACCAATGATGATGCTTAAACCCGCCCTGATTTACATGAAACTCTAACCTCAACATTTGGAAGAAGAAGCGCAGAACGTGGAATAAAGAGTGAAGGGAAAAACAGCATAAACATACAAAAAATAAAAATATGTGCAGAAAATGTCTGAGAGCTTTATGATTTTAAATGTGTTTAAAGTGATCCGTGACCATTGTTTGCTATTCTGAAAACTTTGCTTTCATTTTTTAATTCTGTGCAAGATAATTTTACACGTATTCTTAAATTTTGGTTTCACGCTTGTTATTTTTTTTATCCGTGACTGCAATACATTTGACGGGAATCTGATCCCATATGAATGTCGTGAATGAGAATTGAGTTAATTCAAATAATGCCCAAACTGCAGCATAATCGTTTGAAAGAGCGAGTTTATTCAGATCATGTGGTTATGTGTTTACAGGAATATTCCAATAGCTTGTAAAATCTTTTAAAGAAGGTTTAATCTGAATGTGGACATTCATTCCAAAATAAGGTCGCAAAAGTGATAATTAAATAGATCAAATACAACGTCTGTTTGAGTTTGGAGGGAAAATATTGATGAGCAGCGATGAAGCAGGTAAATACATTAATTTCCACATTCACTTCTCCAAATACAAGTTCAAAGTAAACCAGGCTAATAAGATTCATAGTGGGAGGGTAGAAAGCCCTGTATCTACCATTCAGACGCATTTACTCCAACCAGAAGCCAGAGAAAGAGAGAGCGGGCGACAAACAGCCAGTAATGGTCATCCACACACAAGTATGCATGTAGGTGTGGTGTAAAGAACAAGAGTTGTGTCTGAAGCATGGAGTTAAGCCCAGTGTAATTCCAGGTGCGTACAAGAGCGTCATGGATAAAGCGAAACTAGCGCAGCTGAGATCAGTGCTAGGGAATGTCGGGGACGCGCAGACACCGGTGCCTTTACAGTCTGTTTTTCGTCGTCGTGATGCTTTAGCGATGTAGGTTTTCGAGACGCACAGGTGGGAGCGCCGTGTCTTCACACTATAGTGCACTTGTTTCTCTTTCGGACTTCCACTGATCGGTTTGGGTGAAACAACAGACTAAACATGGATACGCCGAGGGAAACCAGGAAACAAACAATCAAAGCCAAATCAACCAAGCGCAAGATTAAGACGCACAAGTCCCAGAAGCTGTTCCGAAGGAAATCGCTAAAATCGCTTGGAAATTTTATGAGCAGGATTGTCAAAACTTTGGGGACTTTGGCACACTTGGGGGACGCGGACCAGCCGGACGCGGCGGAGGAGGATGATGGTGGGTTTGGAGACACTCTGAGCGCCCACAACTCTGGGAATCACCGAGAGAGCTCGCTGAGGAAGACCGCTGCGCCCTCATCTTCTTATGGGTCTGTCAAAGAAAGACTGTCCTGCTGTTACGGCGAGAAAACTCCGGGAGTTCAGGGTCTGAAGAACCATGGAAACACCTGTTTCATGAACGCCGTGGTGCAGTGCTTGAGTAACACGGAACTTCTGGCAGAGTATTTGGGTCTGGAGCAGTATAAATGTGAATTCAATGAGCGGAAGATCAACGGGACGATGAAGAGTGAGGAGGTCAGGGGGGAGGTGACGGAGAAGCTGGCATCGCTAGTGAGGGCGCTCTGGACGCTCGATTACACGCCTCAGCTCTCAGTGGAATTTAAGGTGAGTTTCGATCAACTTACAGAATGGAGTCACGAACCATGTGTAAATAACTTCTCTGAATGGTCGTTTGTTTTTTCAGTGTAGAGTGGAATCGTTTTATTTGACTTAAGCTAAGATCAACAGGTAGATTTGTCAGACAGACACTGATTCAGACAGATTTAGAGAATCGGATAATACAACGATCAGAGTCAAATTATCTGTATCGCTATTTTGAGATAAATCCGTTTCTTAAACTCGGTCTGAACGATTCGTTCATTAATTGGACTGAATCGTTGACCCTATAAGAGTTTCTTTCGGACATGTCCGATTGGCATTGATGTGGGTTCACACACTAGCGCATTCGCGGGAATGACTAGACTTCCTCATCACTTATTCAACAATCTACAGCGTATTTGGTGGAAGTGGGAGGGGCTTAGAGTAGGAGGCGACAGGTGAATCACCTGTCAACAATTCGGCAGACTTGATTTGGACGAATGCAGAATGTTTTTTATTGTAAAAAGGTGTTAGAAAAACAATAATTTGTTTTATTCTGGGGTTTTTTTCTGTTTGCAAAAATGTAAATAGACTTTCATTTTCCATAACTGACAACAACACTCTTTTAAACATTATGCTTTTAAAAACAAACAGGATAAGAATTCTGTCATCCACTATCAACAATCATAGATTGCTCACAGCTATTTAGTTGTGTGCATATGCCTTGAAGGCACAGTATCTACACAGTCTTGTAACTCAATACTTGTCGAGAGAGATATAGGAAAAAGAGAGAGCTGCACATTAGTCCACATTGTTAACAGACTTTGCCCCTGGTGTTCCCATTCATTCAGATCTACCCTGTTCGGCTTTTATACTGTGGACAGTTTCTGCTCTGTCTTTAGACCTCATTAGCTTACAGTATCAAGTGTATCAAAGTGTACCTTTTTTAAAAAAAAAAGAAAAAAAAGCTAGCCTTTCCCTGAATTTCACTGTATAAGTACATCTGAAGCAGTTACTTTGTAACATTATTTCTGATGTATGCTTACAGTACATTTATGTTTTTGTGCACAAAAACCGAGTCATTCCAGCAAAACCCTCTCACATTTGTCTTATGGCCAAGATTTTAAAATGAATTTTAGTATGATTTATAGTCATTTAAATGTATATTTTATGATTTATAATAATATCATTTATTATTAAAGGTGCAGTAGGAGATCTTGGAAAATGATAACTTTAGCCTGATAGCACTGAAAGCGAACGTCCCACCCTCCCTGCAATCGTTGTCCAAAGCCACGCCCCCTGATCACGCTCACTCACAGACCAGAATACCAGAGTATTATAGTAACATTACTACAATAGGCTACATCAGCGGTTCCCAATTCCAGCCCATGTTCCGAAGTGAAGTAAACTTCAACGGATTTCCTGTGCTCATGGAGTAGGGAGCAATGAACACTGTGTTATCATATCGATCGGAACACAGTGCATGCACGTAGCTCTCTTCTAATGAGCTGGTTATCTGAATCGGGTGTGTTAACTAAGTGAGACATGCAAAATACATGTGCGAGGACTGGAATTGGGAACCGCTGGGCTGCCTACATCATGTGTCATTCACCGGTGAGAAAACTTTAAAAGTACTACAATACCAGGAAGGAAGATCGGGTTGTTGTTGTTTCTCTGCCATTCTCGCTCTGTCTGCACAGCGTGCGTGAACGCGCTGATGACGTATCCTGTCTGAACGAACCGGGTGCGCAGAGGTATGCTAATACAAACGTTGACAGGCAGGTAGGAAAGCCAATTAAGACAATCACCTATTGCACCTTTAACTTTTAGTGGATTTAAGAATTTCTTCATTGTGTTTGTAATGACAAATTAAAGAGACCAAATGTTCCCACAAAGATAAAACCTGACATTTTTGACATTGTGGGGTCTCAACGAGGAAAAAAAAATTCAATAAAAATACTAAATTATGTTTGTCTAAAAATGTAATAATGCAAAAACATTTCTGTGAGGGGTAGGTTTAGGTTTAGTGGATGGAAAATATTGTTAGATCAGTATGAAAATAATATACGTCTATGGCAAGTCCCCAAAAGATAGCTGTACAAATGTGTGTGTGTGTGTGTGTGTGTGTGTGTGTGTGTGTGTGTGTGTGGACTGTTTGTGTGTTTCTGCGTCATCTCGGTTACCCAGCAAGGTGCAATACTGATACACACACCACCTTGAGCACAGCTTGTGCTCTGCTCAGACATCATCCTAAGATCCATGTTTCTGATATCTGTCCCATTTCCATGCATTCCTCTTTACTTCTCAACAACACCTTTTTCGAGTTATATTACAACCAGTATAATTTTAGTTCCTCTGTCAAAATAGATGGCACTTCAATAGGAACAGATTGCAATATGATATAATATTAATAGTTTTATTTGTATATTTAATCAAATTCAGTCTTTTTTGCAGGGTTTAGTATTGATTACAGTAAAGACATGAAACTCTGTGGTAGAGGCCACAGTGGCTATTTAGTCTCTGAGGTGAGGAGATAAATGATGAGGGCGAGGAGGAAGGGCATCTCTGACGGTCAGGGGAAAGTGAATAATACAGCGTCTGGAGATCAGCAGAAATGAATGATTGTCCACCATATGGAGAAATAAGACAGACTTGATGACTTTTATCAGTCTCTCTGTGTTTTCTTGCTCTCTGATTTCCCTTCCTTCCTGTCTGCCTTTAAATCATGGGTGTCAGTCTCAACACACTCTCATTTGTAACTACTCTGCATTTTGGTGAATGGATGGCAAATGGTTGTGAATTTGTGCATCTCATTCATACATTTTTGTAAGATCTGTAAGATTTTTCTAAAAATGTTATGTTTCTATACAAATTCATATGAAAACATTGATCCCTTGAGATCTGGTTGCATGCAAATTAAAACAAAATATTGCACAGAATGAGTTTTATACTGCTTAGAATAAATATTACTGTTTTATGAATTGAATGGAAGCTTGTTTACTAATTTCATTCTTTTAGGATTTTAGATTACATTAAAAAAAACAAAAAACGTTCGTAGTATTAATCACCCTCAAAATTGTACAGATTTTTATTTAACAGAGTCAAAACTTTGTATACAATCTGTCCACCTTTTGTAGAGTAGAAAAATGAAATGGCTGGCTCTGGGACCGTTGCATGATGTGTATAAATAAAAGAATGTTTCCAACACTTTACAGTAAGATGACAAATTAAGGCAAAACGTTAATCTGGCCTGACATACTATAGGCCTAATTAAAATGTAATATGTTGAATATATTTCATGCTAAAAAACAATATGGACACATGTTTTTGTTCTCTTTTCACCATGATTTTACTTTTAATTTTCATCCTCAACTCATTGGATTCCTCAGAGAGCTGTAGAATCAGCCCACTGGCCATGTTTTTGACACTCCAGGTCTAAATGGAAAACTAGTTGATTCTAAAATGAAAAGAAGAATGTAGTGAAGGCACATTCCTGTCTGGTAAGCTTAAGAATAGGAGAGAAACTCGGCAAGCAGCGCTGAAGCTGAGGTTATGTAATGCCATCATTCATCACGTTGCTTAGTGAATTGCCAATGGAACCAAGACAGGTCATGTTAACCTGCTAGACTTGTTTGTCATTCTTGTGTAAGAGAAGGGAGAGGTTTGTCCTGGGAAGGAAGTGAATGGAGACCAGTAATTTATGTCTAAACTACTTCTCACACAAATTATATTGGCTGCTGTTCGACCATTAGACCTTGATATACTGAGAAAAGGCTGAAATAACAAAAATGAAATGTTTTACAATTTACAGGGTTTCAACGTCTCTGTGCTATTATGTTTAGCGACTTAAATAAGTTCAAACAGACTGCTGTGGTATGAAAGGGTTGATTGTTGATCCATTTACAGATTTTTCTAAAAATGTTATGTTTCTATACAAATTCATATGAAAACATTGATCCCTTGAGATCTGGTTGCATGCAAATTAAAACAAAATATTGCACAGAATGAGTTTTATACTGCTTAGAATAAATATTACTGTTTTATGAATTGAATGGAAGCTTGTTTACTAATTTCATTCTTTTAGGATTTTAGATTACATTAAAAAAAACAAAAAACGTTCGTAGTATTAATCACCCTCAAAATTGTACAGATTTTTACTTAACAGAGTCAAAACTTTGTATACAATCTGTCCACCTTTTGTAGAGTAGAAAAATGAAATGGCTGGCTCTGGGATCGTTGCGTGATGTGTATAAATAAAAGAATGTTTCCAACACTTTACAGTAAGATGACAAATTAAGACAAAACGTTAATCTGGCCTGACATACTATAGGCCTAATTAAAATGTAATATGTTGAATATATTTCATGCTAAAAAACAATATGGACACATGTTTTTGTTCTCTTTTCACCATGATTTTACTTTTCATTTTCATCCTCAAATCATTATATTCCTCAGAGAGCTGTAGAATCAGCCCACTGGCCATGTTTTTGACACTCCAGGTCTAAATGGAAAACTAGTTGATTCTAAAATGAAAAGAAGAATGTAGCTATAACTACACTGAAATGATTCATATTGTAAGAACGACTTGTTCACGAATCGGACAACAGTACAGTATTACAGTTGGTTTCTTACACAAGGTTTTGTTAGGCTTTAGAAGACTTAGAATAGTGTACAAGTTGCATGAACCACTTTTATGGTGACTTTGCATCAGTTTCCATTTATTATAATAGCATTACAAAAAAGAGCAACTGTCTTTAAAGCTTGGCATGAGGGTGAATAAATGAAGACTGAATTTTCATTTTGGGTGCACTATTCCTTTGATACAGTTGAGCAAGCACCATAACAGTGATAAATGTTGTTCATATTGTAAATAAACATCTTGTACTGGTTAATGTGATACTGAAGCAATTATGAAATGACAAATAAATATTATATTTCCTTTGAGGAGTGAAAATATTTGTAGGCCTAATATTTGAGGATTTTTGTTTTTGTTAAGAGAAGAGATCTGCAAAATGAGGTGCTATTAGAATAGCAGTGCATAATTTATATTACTGAGTAACCCATATATTTCTAGTCTTACTGAAGCTTTGTGATTCCCAAAATCTGCTTCTATCCCAGATCAATCCAAATATGATAAGCAGATAAGGGGATTATTATGATCTGAATATGACATTGTGCTAATGTTCTCAGAATCCTTTTCATACGTTTAACCTGTTCTTGATGTCCGTCTTTGCTTAAAAGTCACACAGGACATTTGGTAAATGTTAGTTTTTAGGCCTGAATTCATTGACTACAAATCAAGTTTTTAAGGCTTTACGTTTGCACAGAAGAAAGTGGAAAACTTCTCTTCATTTAAGTCAATATATGGACTCATAATAAGGTAAAAAAAAGGTGTTTGTCTTGGGCAACTTTGCAGCTTAAAATGTCACTTTTTAGTACGCTAACAGCACCTGTAACTAAACTTTAAATTAAATAACACCTCACCTCGTATATGTTTTCAGAATATTGGTGGCCGATTCACATTTATACAACAATTAAGTTGTTAATAAAATAACAACTTAAATAAATTCACAACAAAAATGATGACCATAAGACTCGATTTACACCTGGTATTAAAAATGTGTTCATGATGCTAAATGCAGGTGTAAACACAGTATAAAAGGTTTTGAGCTTGTCCACTTTGGACCAGAGGTAGCTGAAAACACATTCAGTCGGGATTGCTTTTGTAGTGTGGTCGAATGTGTTTAAACGGCGACAAAAGGCCTATTTGCCGCCCACCACACACATTCTGGGACGTGTTTTAAGAAAGCGAACAAAAACAATCAATTCTAACTTCGCTATGTTGTGCCAAAACACACGGATTATGACCAAAGTCACTGTTACCAATTGTATCCTTTCCATTCGTTTTGTTTAGTTTCCTGCTCACTCATAAGCTGCGTAATGGCTTCATTCATTCAATTTTATTTGTGTGCTACAGTCTATATGAAATCCGAACACAAGTGGTCACAGGAGACAAATTTAAAATGCATGTTAACCAGGTTTAAACATTACTGCTTCTTGGCTGACCATTTATAATTGGATCACTGGTCCTTGAATCTTATTGGCTGAGTAGTGTTGGCCATATATCGCGTAACGGCGTATATCGGAACAGCTGTGAATCGAGGATGAAAAACAAGATTTGTATGATTGAAGTTATAATGCAATTAGTTTCAAAGCTGTGTCCATATCAACATTTATCTGACACAATCTCCCGCTCCTTCCCTAGAGTGTTGTGTCCAAGTATGGCTCTCAGTTCAAGGGGAACGCTCAACATGATGCTTTGGAGTTCCTGCTGTGGCTTCTGGACAGTGTACATGAGGACGCCAGCCTCTCCACCAACAACAACCACAACGGCAAAACCAAATCATCCAGCAAGGTAATATACCCTCTGTCCTTCTAAATGCTCTTCAGTTTTTTTCCCCCCCAAAATCAACTAATTGATTGGACAATGCAGTGACTGAAAACTCCTACAACCATACACAGTGGGCTTTACTGTTCATTCTGACAAAAAAATATAGTATGTGAAAAACAGTATGTCAAAAGAGTAGTGTGTCCGAATTCATAGTAAGTTCTGGATGACTTACCACTTCCACCGAGATTCTGGAGTGCACATTCAAAGGTCACTTTATTACTATTCCATGTAGCTATGGGGGAGGAGGAGTGAATGGAAGTAAAGTGGCACAGCTCTCACTGGTAGGTCACATGACAGTGACATGGCCGATGTACCCTATTGAATAAACCAACATATGCTGGTTAGGTATGTTTTGAAGCATGGCAGCTGGTTTAAGCTGGTCCTGAGCAGGAGCTAGTTGCTTAGGACCAGCTTAAACCAGCTCATGAGCAGCTAAGGACCAAGTAAACACCATCTTAAACCAGCTCAAACCAGCTACCATGCTTCAAAACATAGGCTACCTAACCAGCATATGCTGTTTTTTTTTCAACAGGGTAGTACACTAACATGTAATTCATTCTTTCGATATTCCTCCTACATATAACATACTTTTTTAACATTCACAGAGCCAGTATCAAATGAAATATAAGTGCCTACTCAACAGTATGTGATTGTAGACACAGCAATAAGAAAATATCTACATATGCTTGTCGAACGCAACTAGTCTGTTGTCCTGACTCATCCTTACTTAGGAGTGTTTTTCTCAGCACACAGTATCAAATATTATATTAAAATACCATTTTGTTCATGTTAGAGATGTAGTATTCCGTTTTTGCACTACTAGTGTGACCTAACAGAACTATAAAAATAAAGAATGTTTTCAAATGCCCCTTTTGTGCATCACGCTTCCCCCAATTAAAACATCACAAATACAGCTCTTATAGTACCGGTCTATAAAAGTGAAGGCAACAGGTAAAAATACTGGGCTACTTTCAATAAAAGGTCCAACATATTAGGAATACTTTCAACTAGAAGTTTACTGTAGCTTACCTGTCGAGAATAAACTCTGCAAGTGCATTGTATCGATTTAAACCAATTCGGAATCAATGCAATGATTGGACGAACATTTTCTATGGACCTTAGAGTTCCACAAAAGTTGTCTACAGTCCAAAACTGCAGATTACTAATAATAATAAAAAAACGACAACATATCACTGCTAAATAACATTGAAAATGTAGTAACCTGCAACAGTTATTTCTACTTGATTTTTTATTTCTCTTAAACAGCTATTTCTACTTGATTTTTAATATAAAACAATTTTTGGTATAAATATATTTGTTAATTCATTCATATTAAATAATATTTTTGACTTGAATAAAAGTTATAGGTATTTTTAGATGTTACCATTTTTTCCACTGTGTAGCTCTCTAGTTGTGATAAAAATCAGCATATTATCATATTCAAAAAAATATTTTTTTTGTTATCCTAAAATGCTTATTCATGCACTTATTTGTGAATTTATAGGATGCATTTACAAGCATTTTAAAACTGATTTGGGTTCCCCCTTCATGTTACCGCACACAATATGTTGCATATGATGCACCCCATATACATGTGTCGTATCAATGGAACTAGTCATGCAGTCGTCTCCCTACATGCTGTTTCTACTGAGTTAAAGGCCTCAAACGCCATTAAGCTAATGAGAAGGAAGTTGCAGCCTAAGACACGACTCCCCCGTGTATATGATACATTGGCTGAATAGTTTTCCTGTTTCATTTGTTAACTTTTGTGCTAGAGAGAGGGTGTAGGAGGAAAAAGTGAGTGGGTGGATTGATGTGGGGGTGTTGTGAATGTGTTGTAACATTCTGTATGTTTCACTGAGACCTTATTGTAAGTGTTTATTCTCTTTAGAAATCAATGAGGAATTTGAGAGCATAGAATGTGCTTAATAAAAATTCACTGGAGTGTTTAAAAGAAGGTGCAGCTTTGATAATCACATAATCACCTTCTCAGAGTTTGGAGACTGTTAGAACGCAGTGGATTGTACGGGGTGTCAGACAGCAGCAGGTCAGCTGAAGTCTGTGTTTTGGCAGTGAACACACTTCAGCCTTTGTCTGCTGTAGTGGCAGCGAATGAAGATGCCAAGCCTGCATGGTAATGTGGCAGCTCCATCAAGAGCCATTTTTAGACTTATCACAGAATGGGTCCGTATCTCTGGCCCCTTACATCACACTCTGATCTCATCCAAACTGAGACACGGTTATTAACAGCTGAATGACAGCTAGACACTTTCAGACCCCCGTTATTGCTTAGAATTTGACATTTGAATCTTTAAACCGTGTCTGGGATTGTTGATTATAATGGGAATTTTTATAGTTTTGGTGTGCGGTTTGCTCATGGCTGTATTGCAAGTGAGTGGTGCAACATTACAAAGAATTTAGCACAAGTTTGTTGTTACTGATAGGTCTACATGCTAATTTACATTCCTCTGATTAATGATTGTTTATTCACACAATGAACATGCCTATGGTTGGTTATAGTGGTGCAAAACTTTTCATCTGAGCAGAAGCAGACATTAAAAGAATGCTATAAGTATATCAATTTTTCATGTTATAATTTCTCTGCCCTAATGTTTCTAAAGCTTACAATATTGCAATGGGCCATAACCAAAGCAAAAAACTGAAGCTGCTGAATCCTACACGTAGTGGGGGAAAAACAAGAAAATACTGTTGAGATTATTTTAAACGGAAGAGGGTACGTACCTCTGTATGTTATATGAAGCCTTTGAAATTGGTCAGAAATATGTAGACAAATCACATTAATGTAAAGAGTAAACCCATTGAGTATTTCAAGATCAAGCTCTTTATTATCGTAGTATTAGAGTGAATCAAGTAAGGTAAAAATATGTCCTGTAATTCATGACACTGCCTAATTATTCACCTTGTCTAATAAGATGCACAACTGTCAAATGGTATTTCCTCAGCAACCAGCACGGATCCGCTCTAGGCATGACGAAGCGGGTATCATCATCTTTTTGGAAGGCCAAACAAAGTAGTTTCACTTTCACAACGAAACACACAGCGCCTTCACGACATGGCGACAGCAACACTACTGCAGCCAGAATAAAAGTTACACCCTCTTTCTTTGCGTGAACATTTGGGCGGCGTTATCTTCCCACATCATGACGTAGACGTGGGGGCGTGTTAGAACGAGCCGTTTTAGGTAGGCGTAGCTGACTCTTAACTTTTATAAAGAATATCTCTTTGGATTTGAGACTTTAGTCTTTGCAACTTTACAGATCTTCTTTATGCACCAAGAGCTTGTAACACTCCAAAGAGAAAGGAAAATTTTTAATAGCATCATATGACCCCTTTAATATTATATTATCTTGAGGTACAGATTTTATTGTAAAATATACTTTTAAAATTTGAAGTATACTACAAGTGTACATTAAATACAATTTAATTCACTTCTTTTTCACAAGGGAAAGGTCGAATCCGAGTCAAGACCGAGTCAAATGAGTCCATAACAAGGCCAAGGCCAAGACCATGAAAATATGGTCTTGGACTCATACTTGAGACAGAGTCCAGTCTGGTGTACTACAACACTGATATTTACAATGTAAACGTGTCAGATATTTTAAACATAATGAAAATGTTTTTTAGAGAGCGAGAAAGAGAGTAAAGAGAGAGGGGGCAGGTCAAGTGTTATTTCCTGGGCTGTTTGTCAAAGAATGTCAGAATGATTTGCCATGAAAGTATTCACTTCAGTGGTTAACTTCAAAGGATTGAGAGTTTCAGAGATTACAACTCACTCAGTCTTTCTTGGCTGTAGCCTGCTATACTGGGCCTACATGAATGTATTTCAGTTTGCATGCTAAATGTATATAGATGTATAGTCACTGTACCAATCAGAATCATGTTAGTACTCCCACTTTACAGTAATTTTTAACCAACAAAATGGAACCTTCGCTGCCTTCTCTGCCTCAAAGCGCAGCTGTCCGTCTGTTGTTTGCCTTCATCCATTTAAGTGGCTTTCAGAGTATGGAAAAATAAAAGGGGCCAAATTGGCACTCTGCTCCACTGAGCTCTTATATTGTTTTTACACACAAATGCTGTTAAGACTGTACTGTTTCAACCAAAGATTGGCTATTCGCATATTGTTTTATTCATATGGCTGTCTGAGATTGGCAATTCCTATCTTACTGGCTGGCTTATGAGAGTCAGGGTACCAGGGCCTGCAAAAGTGATGTGGGGTGTGACAAAATAAGACAGGAGAATCTCAACAAATTCTGATCACAAATGGTCACAGGATGATTTGAGATGCAAGTTAATACCAAGAGGATAAAAGAATGTATCTCAGCTGACTACTTTTGATCAGATCACTGGAAATGCATCTTGATACCATCAGGTGAAAACAGAGCCATTGAGCCTCATTTACGAAACGAAAGTACGACAGAAAATTGGTCGTACGGTCGTTTCAACACAAAACTTGGAATTTATCAATATGGACGTGAGCGGTGGCTACGATCAAATCTCACGTCTGGGGCCTTATGTATAAAACTTTACGTAGATTTCATCCTAAATGTGTGCGTACGCACAACAGCTAGATTTTGAGTACGTACAAAAGTTTTCAGATCTATAAAGCCATGCGTACCCCAGAACCTGCGCAAAGTTCCCTTTGTAATACCGAGTCAGCTGAAGATTGTGCGTACATGAATCTTCACCCCATCTCCTCCTCGAAATAGCCATGTATGGAGCTTACAACGCCTAGTTTTAATATGCATAACGTCATCTGCATATTATTTCCATGCATATTTCCATCCACGTGACACCATGTTTAACACAGTTAAGGGTAGCCTACAACACGTTAGGAAAATATGAGATGGTACGGACTATAAATGCGTTTTGAGACATCACTATTCTAATTCATGCAATATGCTTAAAAGGTAAACATATATTTTAGAATGGTTATAGCCTATATT